TGGTGTCCCCTCGCCGTGCCCACCGTGCATCGGCACCGGGCTCCTCCCGCGCTGGGGAGCGGAGGCAGCGGCAGATTCCAGCGATGGGAGAGGACGTGGCCGTGATGAGTCATGGCCCGGCTGCTCCTTTTGTCGTCTGCCTGGGCCAGGACCGGCAACGCAAGGAAAATTAATAACATAGCTGGGCAACGAGGTGAGAGATGGAGCGGGAGGTGGAGGGTGGTGAAGGGCTGAGCTGGGCATGGACTGTGGTGGGCGCTGGCTGAAGGGTGCTTTGGCCACAGCAGAACCAGCAAGCTTTGGTGGGACCCCGCAGAGGGGGACGGTGCTCCTTGGAGACGCATTGCCCAGACCAGGTCTGTGCCGGGACACATGTTGGTGCGTGTCCCCATGTGCAAGCAGAGGTGGGAGATGGTCCCTGAGGCCACCTAAGTGGGAGGCAGTGCTTTGGGGCACGCAGGTGCTGCGACGGGGACCTCTCGCTGCCTGTTCGATGTGACTGTACTGTCTTTCTCCTCCCAGGCTCGCTAACGGGATCGGGGCACCATGAACTGGGGGGTGTTCGAAGGGCTCCTCAGTGGGGTCAACAAGTACTCCACGGCCTTCGGCCGCATCTGGCTCTCCCTCGTCTTCATCTTCCGCCTGCTGGTCTACGTGGTGGCGGCCGAGCGGGTCTGGAGCGATGACCACAAGGACTTTGACTGCAACACGCAGCAACCGGGCTGCAGCAACGTCTGCTTCGACCACTTCTTCCCCGTCTCCCACATCCGCCTCTGGGCCCTGCAGCTGATCCTGGTGACCTGTCCATCCCTTCTGGTCATCATGCACGTGGCCTACCGGGAGGGCAAGGAGAAGAGGCACCGTGCTGCCGGAGGGGATGGCTGCCACCGCATCTACACCAACCCCGGCAAGAAACGGGGCGGGCTGTGGTGGACCTACCTGTTCAGCCTTGTCTGCAAGGCTGGCGTGGACGTGGTCTTCCTCTACATCTTCTACCGCTTCTACAAGAACTACACCCTGCCCCGGGTGGTGAAGTGCGAGCTGCCCCCCTGCCCCAACGTGGTGGACTGCTTCATCTCCCGACCCACCGAGAAGAACATCTTCACCCTCTTCATGGTGATCACCACCTGCATCTGCATCGCGCTGAGCCTCATCGAGGCTGCCTACCTGATCGGCAAGCGGTGCTGCGAGAGCTTCCTGACCAGCCGCCGGCTCAGCCGGGACCGCAAGCTGCCCCGCGCCGAGCCTGTGGACGCGGGAGGACAGGTTTTCCACGGGGCAGACTACAAACCCCCCACAGCCCCTGTCCCCACCGTGGCCTCCAGCCCCGGCATGCTGCCCAGGGAGGAGGATCAACCCTAGAGCTGCCCAGGGGAAGGCAGGAGCCCCTCGTCTGCCCCGCACCGTCCTCCTCCTCGCCTTCCTCCGTCCCCCTGCCCCTGGAGTGTGGGGGGTGGCAGCACCTCAGAGTCGGGCTCTCTGCCTCTCCTGCCCTGGGGAAGGCACGTTGCATCGCTCTGCTGCGAGCCCGGGGTAAACCCAGCATTGCAGGACACACGTGTGGTCCTGGAGAGCCAACAGGCACGAGCGGCTCCGCCACGGCTGTGAACAGGCAGCAGTGCCTGGAGGTCAAGCCCGTCCCAGCCAGGCTGGCTTAGCTGGTCCTGAGCACGTCCTTGCAGTCAATAAAAATTTCTGTCACAACGAATTGATAGCCAGAGCCGTTGTTCTCCTGCTCCCCGGGCACAACGCTGTCAAGAGGGCAGTCAGGGCTGCGTCACCCCCAGGAAGGCATCGCTCCCGCGGGCAGCTCCGGGCTGGCTTTGGACCAGCTGAGTTGGCAAACCACTGGCCGGAGGCTCCATTCTTCTGGAGAAAAGCCACTGGAAACCAGAGCTGCCCCTGGAGCTGGGCATGAGCAATGGCTTTGGCCAGGGGTGGGAGTGCCATGGCTGGGTGGGCGGTTTTTGGGATGCATGGGGTGCTACGAGGTCTGCGCTGCCCGGGGAAGGGCTTGTCCTTGCACCCAGCAAGTCAGTGGCAAAACTCTTGCTGCAGTCACCAGGCACTGGATGCAGGTGAGTGAGGAGGACAGCATGATTATCTCCCTGTGCTCCCTGGCTTTAAAAAAAATAAAGAAATTCTTGATTTAAGATGGGCAGCTGGGCACAGGCAGGTGCAGCCAGCAGGCAGGAGACCCCTTTGCTGCCGGGGACAGGCTGGAGCCATTTAAACATGTCACGAGTTTCCAAACCAGCGTGGAGGTGGTGGGAGAGAGGGGCCAGCCGGGACGGGCACCCTGGGGATGCCCAGGGAACCCCTCACTGGGGCACCCCGCCTCCCCCACCCTGCGCAAGCTGCACCGCAAGTGTTAGGGCCGTGTCAGACTGAGGCAATCATCATTAATAACGCTCATTAGCTGAGTGGGACGAGAGCACGTGCTTGGTGCAGCAGCCGACATGGCAAAGTGCGGGAGCGAGGATCTGGCCGGGCAGGCAGAGCCCGCTGTGGGCTGCCGGCGCTTCCTGCCCAGCCCAAGGAAAACACCCGAGCAAAACAGCTGAATAAAAGAGAGGAAAAACACCCCGACCACTGATTAAACAATCACACTAAATGGCAGAATAGGATCTCCTTTATTGCTGTAATACGTTGCCTTCTGCCACGACGCAGGCGGCACTGCCATTTCTAAGGCCATCAGCGGTAACCGAGCATTAGCCGGGATGAATAATTAACAATCATTTCATGGCAAATGCACTCGTAAGTAACATTAACTTTGAACATGCAGCTCGATCTGTTACTGCTTTCGCTTTATTTAGAGGGTACAATTATTATTTTTCCCATGAGCGCCGGCAGCCCCGGCACTCGCTGGCTCTGCTGCGAAGGACGCGGTGTTGGCTGGGGGATGCTGTCACCCCGTCCTTTGGGACCGGGGCCCTTCTCCGAGTCGGGTCACTGCAGCTCCTGCTGCTTTGCAGCAGTGACCCAGCAAACCAGCTCCCACCCGAGACCCTCGCTGGGCAGAGCTGAGCTCCTTCCCCCTGCCCACCCTGGGGACAGG